AATACAGTAGTGCATCAAAACTGCACTACACATTTCTAGTTGATATGCAAAATAGGAAATTTGTTACCATCGTATTTATCTGTTTGATTCCGCAGTTGGTCAATTAAATTGAAATTAATAGAAATGTGAACTCAACTTTTTATTTCTATATCATATGTAGAGCTCAAATACAAATTGATTGCTTATCTTTTTTAATAAATATTTATGCAGGTGTTGCGTGAATCAAAGTAGCTCACTTTGTGTAGATGTGGGATTTGCAATCCCGTATAATTCCATTAGTTTTGAAATATTGCGCAGCAGCTTTGGTGTTGTGTTTACTAAACGTTCCGAAGCTGGATTAAATATTGAGCGCCGCTTATTGGGTTTCGAATCAAATAGCTATTCATATTTGCCAAACAAACTTAATAATTCAAAAAGCCTTCAACACGAATGTTAAATAATATAATTAAGATAATTATAAATCATGATTGAATGAAACTTAAAAGAACATATGAAATTGATTAATGCAAATTAGCGTTTATGCATGTACCGATATAATTAATTAAAATTCAAAAATTTTAGTTTCCATGTTGTATTTTACCATAAATAAATGTTAATTTCTCAAATTTATAGACTAGTTAACAAAACTTACTAGTATCGAAAACGATTATAACGACAATATTATTTTTATTGCCACTTCAATTTAAGGCTTGTACAAATTAGCGTTTATTCATATATGCTGGCATATATTGTAAAAATTCAAAAATTTGGTTTCCACATTGCATTTTGCCCTAAAAAACAAATTTTTTTTCTCAAATTTATAGACTGTTGTATTGAAAATGATTATAATGATAAAATTTATTGTTTTAGCACTCCATTTTAAGGCTTGAGCAAATTAGCGTAATTTCATGTATACTAGCATATTTTGTTAAAATCAAAAAATTATTTTCCTCATTGTATTTTGCCATAGATACATTTATGATTCTTAAATTTTATCACTAGTCTTATTATTAGTTCTATTGAGCATGATTATAATTATTAAAATTATTTTATTAACACTCCATTTTAAGAAAGGCCTATCCTTTTACAATCCTGTACATTGTTTTAACTTTGAAAATGCTGTCAGATCAATAGAAAATTGTAATTTAAATATTTGGTAAAATTTATTTTACATCTTCATATATCAATTCTCTCATAACGTTTTGTTTGAGAAATATCCAAAAATTGGAAGGCATTGATTGTGAAAAGTAATTTACATATTAGGGTGAAATTTCAGATGAGAATCTGATCCCTTAAATAATCTTTTCTGATTACAAAGGTAAAAAAGCGATCTTCTTGTTTCTAGGACATTGATCTCAATAATAAGCCGAAGGTTTTAACTCATTTTGTTTCAAGAGGAATGCATGGAGGCTTTTCATTGTGCTGAAGCTTTTGTTTTCGGGATGCAGCACTAATGAAGTGCAGGAAAAATAGAATTTTCACTGGCCGGGGGGATATTCGCATAGGCGCGCACCTGCTTGGGCGGTGATAAACGAGGATCATTAATTCCGGCCTCTGCAAGAAAGGGCAACACTTTCTTTTGTTTCGCCGCTTGACTAATGGCGCGATAATTATTGTCATCACTCCATTGTTTTTGCAAGTAAAGCCTGCTGAACTTTGAGCCTTTCCTTCACTTTTAGCCTTTCTTGTTTCCTCCGCCGCTGCATTATCCAAGTTTATTAATTAACTCTTTATTCGGGCGCATTTGTGTTTTCGGCGAAACTCTTCTCTTCTCATCTCTGGCCGTACCCTCGAGCGGCGCTAGAGCCAAAGCGACAGCTACAAACTTCACGAAATAATTTTAATTACGCTCGCGGGGAAATGAATGAAAGAATGAAAGACGCCCCGAAAAGTTTTAATCATTATAATGACGCTCCTCACATTGTGCGAGCATGTTGCTTTCATCTTGTTAATCATTCTTTAAGTAAAAACGATCTTACGAAAGAATATCTTTTTACAACTAAAACTCAAGCAAGGAGAAATAATGGGAAAAAAATTTTTATTTTTATTTTTAAAAGAAGAAAACCTCAGATATTTGTATGAAAAAAAAAGGAAACGAAGATTTCTAAAATTACCAAACAATTTTGAGAATGATAATTTTTTGAATTTATGGATAAATTGATATTTATCAGCGGCGGATGGGGTCTTTTTGATCTCGGAAGTTCTAGCAAAATTCTTGCTAGCCGTCGTGCCGTTTTGTCCCATTTTTTTATTTATTTAATAAATAATTGTTTTCTATAATTAAATGTAAGTAGGTAAATAGGATAAAAATTCTACTAGCAGAGAATTGATTTTAAATTGAAAGTTCAAATTCTGGCAGTAAAAGTCTGATCACAAAATTGTTTTTCCTGCTATCTTTGCACGGTTCACAAACCAATTAACCGTTATATCAATAATCCACTTAAAAATCGGTCTTAAAATTATCTGGTGTTTTTTTTCTGATTTTTTTTGCGATTATGTTCAAAATTGGGCGCGTAGATTAGTCGATAGTGATTAAAAATTAATTGATAAAATGGATCAAAGTGGATAATTTCTCAAGATTGAAAAAAAGACGTATCAAAATGCTTGAAAACGGGCGAAGAAAGAGATAAAACCAAGGTAATTGATAAAGATATTAATTTAAAATTCCGTTCCATTGGGGTGAGGGTGGAACCAGGGTGGAACGTGGCGACAGCGGAAAGAGAGCCTGCGGGGAACGCCGAGGCGCTCGCGAATATTAAGGAGGTATACCCACTTTTGTGGGCTGGCGAAGATAAATTCGTATTAAATATTCTCTGTGAGCTGCAGGGAATCTCGGGATCTCTTTTCGCTCTCGCTCGCCGGCAAGTGGATATAAAAGTGCGAGCCACGTATGCGAATTTCCTCATATTTTATTAAAATACGTGATTCTGTGCCATTACCGCTGGCTCTTTGTCGTTCGCCCGGCTGTTATGCAACAGAGCGAGCAGCCGTCGTGCCCCCGCCATATGCATGGAAAACATAATCCGTGCCATCTTGATATAAGCCACGCGCGCCATACTTTGCCCTTTTATACGGCTAGGCCTACCTAAAAGTAAACTGCCGAAAAAATTTAGCAAGAAATCGATTTTCTCTGTCTTTTTTTTCCGTCAGCGCTGGGAAAATCCTGCGCATTCTCTCGCAAATTGAATGCTCCGATTCCATTCTTCCGACTTCATTCCGACAAACGACCGGGCCCAGATAATTATTTTCGATTCTTGGCCTCTTCCATTTGGAACGACGGCAGGTGGATGGGCCATTGTTTGCTCGATTCGGAGGTGCCGTGAAAGAGACAATAGATGGGACGAGCGAGTAAACAACTTTGCCCTCGTCGTGCCGAGAACAAAGCGGCGATAAATTCTGGATCGTAAGCGACTTCTGAAAGGGTCGCTATACCCATTCGGCAAGTGGAAATCTTTCCTTTGCGATCGCAAATAAATCTCTCGGTCAATTTTTTCCACCAAAACATCGAGAGAGCCGCAGAGCCTTCAAAAGACCACAAAGCGTTGGAATATAATCTCTTTGATCTCACGTTTGCTCGAGCGTGGAAATTTTAATTGTACCGCAGCATGAAATAATAAACTGGTGAAATCATGTTAAAGCGCTTATCACGCGAGTAAACATAATTTCACATTTTTCCTAATTTATCTTGATTGAACTGGATCGCAATCAAATAGGAAAGGGAAGGATCAAAGGAAATTTAATTATGCTTGCCATGTTATAAAAATCACGATTGAAAGAATGAAAGTGTATATGTGTGTTTTTTTTTTCATTAAAATTATAATTAAAATTCATTAAAAGGACCTGAAATTTATCAGAATATTAAAAATTCAAACAAGAGTTGAAGATTCAAGTGTTTTTTATCCAGAATATTTGTTTATTTTTGGGTAGCAAAAAACGGGGAGTCAGTTTATAATCTCAAGAGGCCGACAATTTTGATATAAAGATGGCCAAGGCTGATTGTGCAGGTAATTTCGAAGTAGTGTTTATGTGTAATTTCCGAAGAAAACTCCTAAAGCTTTTATATAAATTATATTTGAAGTACTCCAGACTAAATCGATTAAAATTTTTGTGAAATTTTTATATTTCCCTCATTTAGTTTCAAAAGGTATGTTTATTGGGCTCGACAATTAAATGACTTGATTTTTGTAAAATAAACATTAATAATAATTTACAGATCTAAGTATTGCTTGTGAAATGGCTCCCCAGCAAGTCAAATGGAAATATAAAAATTCCTCTACTTATGTCCATTTTAATCACTTTCCTGTTTCGTTTCGTTTTGTTTTATATAATTTAATGAACAATAGTATGAAATAAAATAATAACATTACCTTTATATGAGCGAGATTTGTCTTCTGCTTATTTATTTTCCAATTTGCATTTTCTCGCAAAAATGTACAAAACAATGAACTTGAGCAAAATGAAATGAAGATTATTTGTCACTGCATCCGGGGAGAGGAGAAATCTGGCGATATCTGTGCAGCAAAAGGCGGATAAGCTCGTCCAATTTGAGGCACGCGGGAGACGTGGATTATTGTGCCTTAAATTTGGTCCGCAGCCCGGAAAGAGCGACGTGGACATGACCCTTAAAAAGCATTGTGTTATTTAACGTGTACAAGTGGACATGCATACTTTATGGGTGCACATGCAGACGACATTACGGCCGTTTAATCCTATTACACAGGGCCGTGCCTGACGTGCAGTTAAACGAACGTTGCCGGCCCTCGCAACCGATGCCAATATCAGATTAAGGGATTACCTCGCGAAATTCGGTGCACAAAAGTGCGTCGGGCGGGCAGAAGAAAACCATTGTGCCTCGTTAGCTGGTCAACGCACACGCGATCACTGCGGGCTTTTCGCCTTTTGTAATTGAGCTCAAGGGAAACTGTGTTGTATAGGATCCCAATACTTTAATCGGATCCAATTTTCCATTTTCCTTCTCACGCACCACCGGTCCTAACTCAAATTTTCTTCTTTTGTTCCAGATCTCGCCTCAAAAGCAGCGAGTTGATTGGTGAGTACTGAAATCCTCGTCTGCAAACTTTAATAAGTTGGAAAAATTCCAACCAAAAAATGCAATCAATTGCATTTTAACTATTTTCAGGGTCAAAAAAACACCCTCACCCTTTTGAAATAAAAATTTACGTAATAAAAACTGGTTGAAAGACAAAAAAATTGGCAGGTAAACAAATTACGAAGAAGCAAAACCAATTTTATGCAAACCTTTGCGAAAAAAGAACGAAAATATTTATTTATTATAAAATATGCAAGGCGGTTCAAAATTTTAATCTTGGCTGCCAAAAACCATGAGATGAATTTTTGATTTAAAATATAAAAATACTGGAATTCGTGACTTACATTATTTTAATTCAAGAAAGTATGACCTTTTTTCCATGGTTGGTTCAACTCCCTACATCGATTTATGCGTATTCTACGAAGAAAAAATATATCGGTTACTTGAAATATTTGTTCCCGATAAAAATTCCTGTAAAAAAATGTCTAAATATCTGCGGCATTTTATTAACTTTGCCATCTCTTTTGATATAAAAGAAAGTAGTGAATAAAACTTGGTTGCTTTTTTCTTGTTTTCTCTCTTTCGGGCACAAGAGCAGTCTTTCCTCTGCCACTTGAACGAGCGAGATTTGACTTTTAAATAGAAACAATGGCCGCTACCTTCTTTATTTCCTTTTATTTCTCGACCGTCGAACAAAAGAGCGCGTGTTCTCGTTTCGCTGCACCACTGAGGCGAACGGAACAAATCACGTTAGATGAGACGTAAAAGGCAAGGTGGGTTGACACCTACGCGCCCTGTTATACGGCCCAATAACACGCCTCTTTATTAGCTGTATAATAAGCACACGGCATCGTTACGCGCGTGCAAAATACTATCTATATATTTATTTATGTCTGCCCACTGGCAGTAAATGTCGTTGCGCTGAGAAAGTGCTTCGTCACTTGCCGCCGGCGAGATAAATTTAATCACCAGGCTGTGTGTGCTTTTCGCCCCAAGAAGTGGAGAGGGTGTCTTTTGACAGCCTCTAACTCGCTGAATTTGCTAATAGTTTTCGCAGAAAGTGCCTCACTGAGCTCAGAAGATCCGAATAAAAAGCATTTAAGCAAGTAAATTAACTGATTAGATTTAAAAAAACGCACTAAAATTATAAATTTACATTTTTCAAAATCAAATCATTTTGATATATTTACCAGTGGCATTTTTAAAATACTTAAAAAAAAGAGTGAATTTTATGAAATGTGCTTTAAAAAATAGGGTTGGTAACAATAATTAACGATTAAAAATTAATGAAGTAATCATTCATAAAACGGCTGAAGTCAGAAATGAGATTGAACGTGCCAATTTTTTCAGAGAATAGTTCCATTTAAAGATATTTATTTAAAAACAAATTATTAGATTAGATTAGAATAAAATTTTCTAATCTAATCTAAAAAAAATTATAATCGCCCCATCCATACAAGCTCTACGACCACTCAATTATTCTTTGTCCTTTTTTATTCCTAAATTAATTCACCCCTGCCATTGAAAAAAGCGTTGTAAATCATTTTCAACACAGGAACATTAAAGCAAATTCCCTGTGTCATTTCAATGCTCGTGTCCGCCGCGGCAGTGACGTGTCATAAGTGCCATAAATTTAATTTTTAAGAGCGCGCACACAACACGCCGACCCAAATCCCAAAACAGCTCGGCCGGCCCAGGAGTGAAATCCGGCGGGCTGCGGTTTTGCACACGCCGAGATTCGAAGCATTTTTTTTTTATTTTCAATTTCTTATCTCGCCACTGGCACGCACGCGAAAACAAACAACAGCCTTATGCAGACAAACGAGTCGTTTCCCCTCAACCATCTCCGCGCGCGCGTTGATAAAAAGTAGTCAGGAATTTCATAACTTGTTGCCTTGAGCTTTGTTTCCCGGAGAGAGAGAGAAAGGAGCCATGTTTTCACAAAGTATGTATAAATTTCGACAATCCGCGAGCGGCGCGGCTGCCACCCTCTCTCCCACTGCGCATTGTGTGCGAATGTACTGTGCCAACATCTTCCCCCGGGAATTTCCACCAACTTTCACACTCTTTCATATAACTTTGGCTTTCCTACCTTGAGCGGTGCAATTTTGCGTGCAGTAAACAAAACGCAATACAGTGGTTTGGTAAATAAGAGCTCAGAATCCAGGAATCTGCTCGTCTCCAGCCGACCGAAAGAATTATGCCACTTCCTTGAAGAGACTTTCTTTCCCCTTCGCTGAAATTTTTGAAATACGATTTTCCTGCGAGCGTCGCCGAAATTAGAAATTTTTGCGCCGGATTCTCTGAAAGTCTTTTCGAGTCGGCGCAAAGGAGAAGAGCAATAAATTTCCTCGGCGTGCGCCCGTAATTGAATTTGCAGGGGCAGCTGAGAGGGCGATTATTGCAAAATCAAATAACAATTTCAGTTTGGTCCGCCTGGCGAAGCGAGAGGGTTGTGAGCGGATAATTAAAAAGAGGTTTGTTCATGTTAATAAGATTAAACGTGGGCAGGTTACTGATATAGGAAAATAAGCACCGGTCAATATTTCAATATTTATTTTTTAAATAAACTTTTCATATTTTCGTGTAGCGTTATTCTAATTAATATTCAGTTCTAGAATTCAAAAATAATACATTAATACTAATTTTTTTTTTTATCTCTTTTTCAAATAGCAAAATTTTTTAAATCAAAATGTTATTTTTATTTATTTATAATCAGAATAATGTATGCAAATTTTACCAGATTTATTGAATAAAGTGATTTTGAGCTTTTAATTTAAATGACATTAAAAGTAAAATTTAAAGTAGTTTTTTTTAACTACAAAGAGCAATCAGAGCTTTTTTTAATAATTCCAATAGAGAACGTTTCGTAAAATAAATATCACCGATCGAAGAGATTAAAATCCACGACTCGGACAAGTTCCCCTTCAGCAGCACCACGTAGTGCATCAATCTTTCCGTACCTGTTTGGCCGACCGGCGCGGGCGCTACTGTGTTTCAAAAGTTTGCGCCGTAATTCACGCCGTCTTGAATGGCCGCCTGCAATAAAAAGGAATCAAACGCGTTCATAAATTATCCGGCGGCTCCACGCGATTCCCGCGCTTAATTCGGTCTCCTTCGTCGGCGACAAATCTCGCGGGAGAAAAATTTGGCAATTAGTCGGATTAATAAACGCCCCTCCAGTCCTATTTTTGCCAAATCTCGCCTCCCGAGCGGGCACTTGCGACTTCTTTCTCCTTACTTTCGCTTTCCGCCTCAACTTTGCGTCGACCTTGCTGTCTGTCTGTTACGACCGGATTTGAGAAATGCCCGAAAATTGCGCCTGTCTGCAATGTGGTCGTTTGACTCCTGTCGCGCGCAACACGACCTAAGTACGAACAGACTCCCTCGTACTTGACGATTTTCCGCTCGATCAGAAAATATTTCCTCTTTTCTCTGAAGGAAAACAAAGGGAAAAAATAATAAATAAGAGAGGAAAGAAATTTTGCAGTGCCTCGAGCCGTGCTGCAGCCGACTTCTGATATTCAGAAAGAAAATATGTGACATTTCTTTCCCGGCGCAAAACAAAGTGAGCCCAATCGATGCGAAAAAGGAGGATGAGCCACGCCGAGTGATTGACGCGCGTTATGAGGTTAACAGGCGCGGTGCCACACGCAGATGCCACCCTTTGTGGCGCATTTGCTCTCATTTGAGTAACGAGATTTTCAGCATCCTATATCAATTTGCTGAACGAACGGATTTCATTTACTTTTGCAAAGCACCCTAGTCCTTGATATCCGCCTAACTGGCAAAGCCTACTTGTGTCCGCTTTCCGCGTCTCTTATTGTAACTCTTTTTCTGCTCTCGTGAATTTCGCTTTCATTTTTGAGCTAGGAAAAATATTTCGGTACGTGGAACTTTATTGTCTGAGCTCTATTGAACGAGAGGAGGCTCTTCTCTGTCTATTTAATTCTTTTTATCATGAAGGAATTTATTTTTATATATATTCAAAATTCAATATGAAAACGTTTTCATCTTAAAGCAATAGTAGCTTCGATGGAAAACAATAATTTTTTCTTTCTTTTTTCATTTAAAAATAATAAAATCTTCATTACATTGCAGATAAAAAAAAAACATTGGTGTTATGCAACCTGCTTCGAACATATGTTGAGCGGGTTTACATAACTTTCCAAACGACAAGGCAACCAATGGTGAAAGTTGTAAAGTGAGTTACAGATAATTTTGTTGACTTGTGAGAGAATAATAATGATAAAAAAATTTAAAGACGAAGAACCCAGCAACATTATTTTAATTCAAAAATCAATTGAAGGCTGAATTGATTTTTTCAAAACAAATTTACAACGAGGATAATAATGGATATATGCGGCAAATATTGCAGATTAAAAAAAAAATGCTTGAATTAATCTATTATATTTCCTCGTTGCTCACAGAATCAATTCGCAGTAGAAATAATAGAGCATGAACAGTCAAAATCCAGTGAACTCTAGTCTCGCTTACGAATTAATTAGGGAATGACGAGGAAAACCACACAATTATTAAAACCATAATTCATGCTAACCATTATTAGGGAGGATTTGTAGTTAATGATGACATGAATAGAAATGATGATCATAAATGTCTCATATTTAGAACGATTCATTTGGTTTTCCCGAGAATTTTCTTTCATTCTTGTCAAGTCATTGACAATTGTTAAAAAAAGGAAAGTTTTTCTTCGAATAGGCATAAATTGAGATCCGTCAAAATATCCGGAGAGAGGAAAACAAATTGGCTCTCGGAGCGCCAATTTAAAAGGCGCTGAACCTCTGCCGCGCACTTTCTGATCCATCCGCTTTATTTGGAATCGTCGTCACCTGCCGAAACATTTTCTTTCGCACGTGCGAAGTAAAAAGAGCGAGATGCCCACTAATGAATCGGAACATCCGCAATCAAGGAAATGGGAGCCTGTCGAGAAAACACAAGAGGCAAAAAATTAAACAATTTGCGCGCGGCGGCAAAACAAA